GGTCACCTTTCATGCTGTGAAACTCCAAAGGAAATGTAGGCAGCGATGTAGTTTCAGTCGCAATGAAAGTACTGATACCCATTGTTGATTGTTGGAAAAACCCATTTGGTTCACTAAACTCCCTTAGAGAAGGAAACTGCCATCCTTACCTGGTCTGGCCTATGTGTGACTCTAGACCCACAGTAATGTAGTTGATTCTGAACTGCCCTCTGGGTAATTAGGGATGGGCAATAAATGTTGCCTGGCCAGCGACGCCCTCATCCTGCGAATGAATTTTTTAAAAATCTGATTGTTAATATTATTCTCTGTTTTTAGATCAGTGACTTCCTTAACAACAGGTGTTAGTTTTACAGATTTATTTGCAGCACAAGTTAACAAGTACTGGATTTCCTCAGGCTATTCTTATTCAATTTCCATCCTTTATATGAATGAGCTTTGATCAGAATATCAAGACATAACAATCCTGAAGTTGTGTTGTTCTTATGGGTCTCAACAGAAATTGTTCTTTATCTGTGGCAGCTCACAACACTCTATGAGCTGCTATTCATGATAAAGGTTACTGCCTCAATATTTTTCTAGTGGGCCTGGTTGGTCTGGTGTGGTAAAGAAAAACCACTTCCTGGTCTAACTAGAATAGTCCTTTTTTAGTTCATCCATGGGATGTGGGCATCTCTGACTAGGCCAGCATTTATTGCCCATTCCTAATTGCCCAGAGGGCAGTTAAATGTCAACCACATTGCTATGGGTCTGGATTCACATATAGGCGATATCAAGTAAGGATTGCAATTTCCTTCCCTGAAGGATATTAGTGAACCAGCTGAGTTTTTCCAACAATCGACAATGTTTCATGGTCATCATTCATCTTTTCTTTGAATTCAAATTCCATCGTCTGCCATGATGAGGCTCGAACCTGTCAGAACATTATCTAGGTCTCTGCATTAATAGTCCAACGATAACACCACTAGCCCGTTGTGTCTTCCCTTTCTTGTAGTTAACAGGATACAGTTTATTCCATGTTAGCTACCAGTTACAAAGGCATTGAGAAGGAGCTGATGTTATGTCTCACTTCTTCAAAATCCTAAGCTGTTCTGCCGACATGTCCATATGGCATCACCATAGTGAGTGGTGCTTATGGCACCCCTTAGTTTTAACCCTATCAGATTTATAATCAACATAAACTATAGGATGTCAGTGGAAATATTCATAAAATGATGGGGATAAAAATTCTATTAAACAAATGAAAGTAACATGAAGGGATTAGTTTGTTGACTTTAGGAAATTGTCAGTTAGATATATTGTTACTGTGAAATGTCACAATGTGAACTACAACTATTTACGTAATAAAATAGATAATAAAATTAATCAAAGTATAGAATCATAACAGTTTGGAAGTAGGCTATTCAGCCTATCGAGATTACACAGACCCTCTGAAAAGCATCTCACCCAGACCCCATCCCCCATAACCTATCCCTGTAACCCTGCATTTCCTATAGTCAGTCCACCCAGCCTGCACATCCCTAGACAGTGTGGGCAATTTAATGTGGAGCTGGAGGAACCGAACCTGAAACGTCAACTTTCCTGCTCCCCCGATGCTGCCTGGCCTGCTGTGTTCCACCGGCTCCATACTGTGTTGTCTCTGACTCCAGCATCTGCAGTTCCTGCTATCTCCATGAGCAATTTAGAATGGCCAATCCACCTAACCTAGGTGGGTAGGAATGTATAGCAGGATTGAGAACAAGGAGCACAGATTTAAGGCAATAAACACAAGACAAAATGGAGACATGGAGAAATCTCTTCACATAGTGAGTGATTCAGGCCTGAAATTCACTACCTGAGTATATGGTGGCGGCAGGCTTATTTAGGCTGTCTAAAAGGAATCAGATCATTATCTATCTACCCCACACAGACTGTATCGGTTTAAAAAGGCAACTAACCTTCTCAAGGACAACTAGGGATGGGCATTAAATATTGGTTCAGTCAGCAGTGGAGGCGAATTGAGACTGCTATCTTTTTTGGAAATATCATCTGGTACCAATGTCTTTGGAAAACAGACTCTTTAACGGTGCAGAGATTATAGAGACAGTGTTTCTATGGGATTTCTGCTAAGCAATCGCAAATATCTTTGAAGGATTCTGTGAGAAACATGTCTTTGATAGAAAGACACATAGCCTCTTACCCATTTAATATTTCCAATATGCAGATAATACTTCACAATATTTAAATCTGCAGCTGCAAAAAATTTCCTTAAACATTTAAATGGACTCCAACTTGTGATCTAATTTACACATGAAATGAAACTCTCAACAGGCTCCCTTTCTTTGAAATAATCATTGAGAAATCAATCAGGGGTTTCCTTTGCTACTGGATCAAAATCCTGGAACTACCTCTGGATCTGTATTATGGATGGACCAGCTGAACAGCAGCAGTTCAAGAAACCACTCGCTATCACCGTTTCCAGAATAATTAGGAGTGGACAATCAAAGCTGACCTTGCCAGTGAAGTTCAGATCCTAAGAATTTTGATATATTTTGTCTATCATAAACTTACCTCCACTAGTCAGTGTGTACACTGGGAATCCTATTGTTCCGCACGCCATATAATGGCCTTATCATAAACAGGGCCCAAGCTATTTGATCATCCTACACATTTGATGCTGACATAGGATACATCAAAGACTATTCTGCAAGATCAGCTGACACTGAGAACACTGTATGTCATGTAACCTCATGAAAGGCCTAAAGGTGACCACTGATGCCATTAAGCAAAAAAGCATTCTGCCTATCACACTCATGATTAATGTGGTTATGTGCATTTCAGTGCTGGTGTAATGCTAGATGTGTAGGCTGTACATTGCAAAGAAATATAGAAACATAGAAACATAGAAGTTAGGAGCAGGAGGAGGCCATCCAGCCCTTCGAGTCTGTTCCACCATTCTTCACAATCATGGCTGATAGTCTAACTCAATAGCCTAAACCTGCTTTCTCCCCCATAACCTTTGATCTTATTCACCCCAAGTCCTATATCTAGTCACCTCATGAATACATTCAATGTTTTGGCATTAACTACTTCCTGTGGTAATGAATTCCACAGGCTCACCACTCTTTGGGTGAAGAAATGTCTCGTCACCTCCGTCCTAAATGGTCTATCCCGAATCTTCATATTGTGACCCCTGGTTCTGGACACACCCACCATCGGCAACATCCTCCTGGCATCTACCCTGTCTAGTCCTGTTAGAATTTTATAAGTCTCTATGAGATCCTACCCTCATTTGTCTGAACTCTAGCGAAAACAATCCTAACCCAGTCAATATCTCCTTAACGTCAGACCTGCCATCCCCAGAATCAGCCTGGCAAACCTTTGCTGTACTCCCTCAAGAGCAAGAGCATCCTTCCTCAGAAAAGGAAACCAAAACTGCACATAATATTCCAGGTGTGGCTTCGCCAAGGCCCTGTATAACTGCAACATATCCCTGTTTCTGTACTCGAAACCTCTCGCAATGAAGGCCAACATACTATTTGCTTTCTTTACCGCCTGCTGCACCTGCATACTTACCTTCAGCTACTGGTGCACAAGGACATCCAGGTCCTGCTGCACACTCCCCTCTCCCAATTTACAGCCATTCAGGTAGTAATCTACTTTCTTGTTTTTGCTTCTGAAATGAATAACCTCACATTTATCCAAATTATACTGCATCTGCCACCGATTTGCTCACTCACCCAACTTGTTGAGATCATGCTGAAGGATCTCTGCATCCTCGTCACAGTTCACCCTCCCACACAAATTGGAATCATCTGTAAACTTTGAGAGGTTACATTTTGTTCCTTCATCCAAATCATTAATATATGTTGTGAATAGCTGGGGTCCCAGCACTGCTCACATCAAACAGCAAATTTCTTCGACCATTTGCAATAAACAAGAACCTTGCCAAATCAGAGCATCACACTGTCAATTAATAAATGTGATTCTGCAATTGGGCAACATTGTATAGACAATCTGATTTTTATTGTTTCTCACACCTACACAATTTATAAAAAAAATATAACCAGGAGATTAGAACCTCCTCTGAAAAAAAATAAACAATCCTGACTCTGTGAAAGATGGCACTGACCGCCAGTTTAGAAATATCAGTCTGGCTCACAGTGTGGTATTCTTGTGAGCCCTGCAAGCTGCATATATTAAAACACTGAGCCACATTCATTGCAACCAGAGAGAATATGTAAGCACATTGTGTGTTTTTAGACAAAACCTGGCTGACAGCTGTTTGCAGGGCATTTTTCAGGACAATGTCAAACAGTCTGTTTTAAAATTTGATTTGATTTGATTTGATTATTGTCACATGTATTTTGTTATAAAATATGGTGAAAAGTGTTGGATAGTGTCACCACTCTCTGGTGCCATCTTAAAACACAGCAAAATAAACCAAAACATTGACAATGAAGGCAGAAAAATAAAGAAATGAATAAAAAGTGTCCAGCTTCACAATCCTTGTTGTTAAGTGCTCCATCATGGGCCTGTTGGCCAGGCACAAATCCCCTTTGCAGTGCCACTGCCGCTGGAATGAAAGTCACCATTCTTCAGCACCATCTCACACCCACCGACACCCTCGCCACTACGTCTTCTCGATGGACCTCGCTAACGCAGATGCCATTGATGCTGCCAGCTACGCACGGGCCCAAACTCAACTCCGCCACCGCTATGAGCCTGCTTCGAGACCCCCTCGTCGATGCAGCCACTGCTGTTACTGCCAGGTCTTGTTCTGGACCCAAACTCACCTCTGCCTCCTTGAGTCTATGCTGGATGCAGACGCTGTTGGGAATAAACACATCCCCGACACGATCACAAGGAGTCTGCGCTGGGCCCACTCAACACCACCGATGCCATCACCGTCACCAAGCTCTTCTACAAGAAGTAAGCAAAATAAAATAGATAATAAAAACAACTAAAGAGAGAAAAGAAAAAGAAATAAGACCCAGGCTAAGAATCCCTACTCCACCATAATCTTACTGGAAGCAAAGTTTGGCATTAACTGGTGCCTTGTCCTGGGAAATACATCTACCATAAGAACAATAAGACCATAAGATATAGAAGCAAAATTAGGCCTTTCGGTCCATTGTGTATGCTCTGCCATTCAATCATGGCTGATATGCTTCTCAACCCCATTCTCCTGCCACCTC